ATACCATTTAGGGGCTGATTATTAGTTGCATAGGGTGGGGGGTTGAGGTGGAAATTGTGTAGGCCTAGAAATCAAAAAAAGGGAAGATTGAATGGGATAATAGGTAATTTAGTGTGAACTTATTCACACTAATAATAGTAATAATAGTGAGTAATAGAGTGAATACTTGTGAACTATTATTTATGGACAATTACACTGGAATAGTTTCTTGTATATTGATACAAGTTCAAATTATATTTGTTATTTCTGTTTACAATATTTGTATACCTATGCAAAGTTATTTTGTCATATTGTATGCATGCATGTTTCTACCTCTGTTTAAGACAATTTGTACATTGATACAATTTTAGGATATATTTATCATATTGCATTATATATTTCTACCTCTGATTAAAATATTTATACATATATGGGCGGGCATTTTTGTCTACAAGAACTAATTTGGCATACTGTTGGATATGACTCCGAAGTGTTTAGCCATGCCCATTCTAACTTCCTTTGTCTGTGTTTATAAAGAAGTATTGGATGGATTAGGCCATGTGGTGGTTAGCATGAGAATGGCCTCTGTAAGCTTATATGTTTGGATGCTTGGTCCCCAGTTTGCAAAACTTGTCTGAAAAAGGTTAGGTGGTGTGGCCTTGTTGGAGAATGTGTGTCCTTGTTGAAGGAGACATGTCACTGGGGAGTGGGGCTTTGAGGTTTCAAACACCCATTTAGCCCATTCACTCTGTCTCTGCTTGCATCTCAAGATGTAGGTTCTCAGCTACTGCTCCAGTGCCATGAATTCCTGCCTGCTGCCACGCTCCCCAACATGATGGCCATGGACCAAACCTCTGAAACTGTAAGCAAATCTCCAATTAAACTCTTTTTTGAGCTGCCTTGGTTGTGGTGTCTCTCCACAGCTATAGAAAAGTAATTAGGACAGGCCAAATATTTTTTGGTTAGATCCCGTCATTTTCAGAACAGAACCTTAAATTACTCCCTCTGGACACATAAAGGACGTAAATTATTAAGTAGCTCACCATTTCTATCCTTGCATGTTGGCCAGTGGTGCTGATTTTGAGCTCTCTGCCGTGGCGCAGCTGTCGATAGCCTAACGATGAGAAGTGTTTGTGAGGACTGTAAAAGATGTCATACCAAATTTCTGCGGCTACAAGTCAGAGATGCTAAATAGGTTGTTCCATGCAACTACCCACCCATCCAGTCCCCAGTAGGCATTGTTAACCAGTCACAGAACTTTTTCCTTCGGAGATGAGACTCACCAAGTTTCACAGCACGATTTACATAGGCAGCTACTGCAAGCAGATCAAAGTTGAAATGTGAACTGAAACCTACTTGCCATCCTAGGGGACAGTAATCTAAATGCTACCATGAACTGTGTACTCTACTTAATTGGGCAGGAACATTCGGACAGTAAGTACATAGAGTTGACTTCATGTAGTGTGCTATGTGAGTGTAACAATGGTATACTTGGAAAGAACCCGTGTGCAGATTTTGGAGAGTCAGCTCTGGCCTTCTGCTCTGGGTTCCAGAGATCAACCCTGCATCTTCGGGTTTTCACAGCAAGCCTCTTTCCTCACTGGGCCACCATGCCAGGCTTGAGACTCTTTTTTTTTTAAAGTATTTATTTATTATGTATACAATATTCTGTCGGTCTGTATGTCTGCAGGCCAGAAGAGGGCACCAGACCTCAATACAGATGGTTGTGAGCCACCATGTGGTTGCCAGGAATTGAACTCAGGACCTTTGGAAGAGCAGGCAATGCTCTTAACTACTGAGCCATCTCTCCAGTCCTTGAGACTCTTTAAGATACATATTTTCTGCTTAGCTCACAATATCATCCTCATTAGAGTTTGAGATTTTTCTCTGAACTAAAGCTTAAGAAGAGTCTGAAGAGATGGCTTAGCGGTTAAGAGTGCTGGCTGCAATTCCAGAGGTCCTGAGTTCAATTCCCATCATCTACATGGCATCTATATACACAGTCATTGATAATGGAATCCACTACGTAGATGTACATGAAGACAACATAAATAATCTTAAGATTAAGAAGCATGTACTTCCCAAAATCAATGAAACCAACAGCACTGGGTAGTTTTACTGTCTCTGTTACCACAGTATCTGACAGAAATGGCTGAAGAGAGGAAAGAGTTATTTTCACCCCCAAATTCGGAGGGTTTAATCCATTGTGGTAGGAAGGGTGTGGCAGAGCAAAGCACTTCATGACATGGTAGTCAGGAAACAGACAGATGAGGAGTTGCCCTTGTCCCAATTTCCTCTCTGCTGCTGTGGAAAAACACACTGACCAAAAGCCAGTTAGAAGAGGAAAGGATCTCTCTGGTTTCTATTTGCAGGTTGCAGTCCATCACTGAAGGAATTCAAGCAGGAACCTGAAGCCAGGCCTACTCGCTATTCCACACAGCATTACCTTCAACCAAGAAATGAATTCACAGCCAAGAGAGTACAGAGGACACCATGAAGGAGCATTGTTTGCTGGCTCAATTGCTTAGCTGGCTTTCTGCATAGCGAATGGTGAAGTCCATAGTAAGCTTGAGTCTGTATCCACTAACAATCAAGACAATTCCTCACATATATATTTGAAACAATTACTGGCATTGTTCTTTTATTAAATAAAACTTGGGGTTAAAACCAACTGATCAGAGAAGCAGCGGGAAAGTGAACAGTAACCCCCCTCTCTCTCCTTCTTCCATCCAGGAGGGCCTGGGAATCTTTCTAAGCCCCTTTCTACTACTTGTACTATGAACCATAAGCAATAGGAGATCTTAGGTTTTATCACCCACTGCTCTATTTGTAAGCAAAGACGGTTGTTTTAAGAAGTAATTATATGCCAGGTGGTGGTGGCGCAGGCCTTTGATTTTAGCACTTGGGAGGTAGAGGCAGGCATATCTCTGTGAGTTCAAGGCCAGCCTGCTTCTACAGAACTAGTTCCAGGACAGCCAGGGCTACACAAAGAAGCCCTGTCATGAAGAACCAAAAGAAAAAGTGCTATAGTTAGGAGTGGGCTATAGATATGATACTTGAGATGTTTTTACTGTGTATATTTATTTTTTCTAATAATTTTTTATTACTTTATAAATAATGCCATTCAAAATTTTCTCTTCCTCCCCTCCTCCCACTTCCCTTCAGCTCCCCCACTCCCCCTCCAGTCCTAAGAGAGGGCAGGCTACCCTGCCCTGTGGGAAGTCCAAGGCCCTCCCCCCTCCATCCAGGCTTAGGAAGGTATACATCCAAATAGACTAGGGTCCCAAAAAGCCAGTACATGCAGTAGAGACAAATCCCAGTGCCATTATCATTGGCTTCTCAGTCTGCCCCAATTGTCAGCTACATTCAGAGGGGCCAGTTTGATTCCATGCTTGTTCAGTCCCAGTTCAGCTGGCTTTGGTGAGCAACCATTAGCTCAGACACACTGTCTCAGTGGGTGGACCAACCCCCTGTGGTCCTGACTTCCTTGCTCATATTCTCCCTCCTTCTGCTCTATCTGGACCTTGGTAATTCAGTCCAGTGCTCCATGTGGGTCTCTGTCTCTGTCACCGGATGAAGGTTCTGTGGTGATATTCAAGATAGTCATCAGTCTGACTATGGGACAAGGCCAGTTCAGACACCCTTTCCTCCACTGCCCAGGGTCCTAGCTGGGGTCATCCCCGTGGACACCTGGGAACCCCTCTAGAGTCAAGCCTCTTGTACTTGGCGTTTTTTAAAAGATAAACCTGTTTGCTTCTTGTGTGATATACCTGAAAGGTTTTTTTTTTTAAAGAAATGTGTTTTCATGGTCTTAATAGATGATTCAGAGGTTAAGATTACTGTGTGGTTTTGCAGAAGACCAAGGTTTGGCTCCCAGAACACACATGGTAGCTCGCAACCATCCATAATTCCAGCTTCAGAGAATCCAGGACTTTCTTCTGACCTTCATGGGAGCTAGGTATGCATGTAGTGGTCCTATATACATTCAGACAAAACACCCACACATGAAAAAGAAGTTCTTATTCTTAAGAAAATATTTCAAGGAAAGAAATGCATATTCATGGTAAAGAGGAGGAGGAGGACCTGTGACTATTAAGACCTCTTCACCGATTAACTCCTTACTATATCTTCCCTTTTGAATTTTATTTTTTTTGGCGGGGGGGGGGCACATCTCAACCAGAGCTGAGGCAACATTAAGCCATACGAACCTTGAGGTTGGTCTTACTTTCCCAAGGACCATCTACACCAGAAATGTGATTTGAATGAATGAGTCAGGGATGTAAGAACAAGTGCAGCAAGCTGGTGGTAACTTCGCCACGTTTTTCTTGGACCGGAAGGAGGAAAGATAACTGTGTGTGTGCTCTCACAACCGATTTAGTGAGGTTAACGTCAAGACGCTCAGTCCCTACATAACAAGAGGGCATTGGTTGCCTAAGAAAAATTATCTTTAAGAGACTCCAGGAAATAGAGAGCGCTTATTTGGTACCTCTGCCTTGCATTTAAAATCAGATAAGGTCAGAGGGCTAGAAGCACCATTTCACAGTCCCGGTTTAAAGGTATGAAAACTGGTTGAAAGGAACATGAACATGAACTCACAGTTCAAGTTCAGGGGATGTTTCGAAACTTGCGTAAATTGAGCTGAAAGGAAGGAACACATCCAACGTTTCGACCTGAGCATGTCAAAATCATGCTGCTCAGAGATGGACGAAACTTGAGGAAAGCCACTTTTTAGACTTAGAGGCTTTTAGGCAAGCAGTCTGATTTTATCTAAGAAATGTTGCTTTTATCCCAGAAACGTTGCCTGCCGCGGGCAAAGAGAGAGGGAGAAGGGGTGTGAAGGGGTGAGGAACTCAGAGGCGTGGCTCGGGCTTAGGGGCGTGGCTTACGCAGGAGGGGTGTGCCCGGGCAGAGAGCAGAGGCATGCCAGATCTAACGGGGCATGATTAGGGCGGTCCCTGTGGCTTCAAGGGCGCTCGAAGGGCTGGGGTGTGGCCTCTAGGGGGCGTGGCGCGGGCGCCAGCGGGCGAGGCTTTGATGGACACTCCCCAGTCGCAGGTCCTGGGAAGCTAACTTGCTAGTGGCACTTGTTAAGTGCTGTCTGAGAATCGTCCAGGTAAGGATGGGCAGCCGAATGGAGTGGGAGCCTCAGGGAGGGTGGACAGACCTAGAGAGGGCCGCGACCCTTCCCACGACCCTCCACCCCACTGATCCCGGGCTCCGAGTAGCGACAGCTGTTGGTTTTGCGAGTCTTGCCTAAGTTCCTGCGGGCCTCTCCGGGCGTCGTCTTCTCTGCTTCAGCCCCCCTTTCTCCACTATTGGGAGTCACTAGACCCCTTCACAGTTCTTTTGCACTTGAGAGAATTTGTGGGGGCACAGGAGGAGCAGGTCCCTTGTGAGGGAGGGCAAGTCAGTCAGAGTTAGTAGAATCTAAATAAATAAAGGTCAGCCTGCTAGGAAACAGCTGGAGACGAGGGTAAAGGCTAACAAATTCTGAGACTTCCTTCAGAAACTGAGGTGCACTAAGTCAAGACTCTGATCGGCGTGGTGTTTCTTCTTCATCCCCACCCCCACTATGCCAGGAGCTGGGGACAGGCTCACAGCCATCCCTAGGCTGTGGAGTACTGTCACAGCTGTGCTTACAGAAATCAAAAACTTTTTTACTCTGAAATTACTCCTTCTGGCCTTAACTTTTGTGCTCTGCCCAAGACCTAGAGGAAAGGTACCTCCAAAATCCAGAATGGTTGATGGCTGCCATTCTTTGCAGCATTCCTTGTTAAATATTTTACTCCCGAGAAAACTTGTGACAGCTTGTTAATATTAATGTCAGTGCCCTCCCTTTTCGTGTGCGTTCCCAGGGAAGGTTTGAGAAACATTAAGAGCTAACGGGCACACCTTAGTTTGGAGAACACTTGTGCCTTCTTGGCCATGGAAAACCGCTTTGCTTTCTGCTTCCTGATCTCCCTTTGTTGATACTTTGGCGTCTTCTTTTACGTGCTGCTGTTTAAAAGCTGGGTTGGATTATGAACAGAAGTAACACCATTTTTCTTGTGAGTGAAACGGCCCTGGATCCTTTAGCGGTCCCTGCACTTTGCTCCGAGTAGCCTATGTTCACAGGTATGTTGAAAGTGGGAAACCTTTCCACTTCTTAGGAGTTTCCTCCTTCATTCACAACCTTTCAAATCAGGCTGGAATTCCTTGAAGACCCAAAACAGCAAGGGTACCATTCTCAGCTGGGAGTCATGCTCTCGGGGGAAGAAGGGGCTGAGAGGAGGAAGCTAAGCTTTCTCCATCGAGATTTGGCAAGATAATCTCTAATTCAGATTTGAGGAGTTGCAAAAGGCCTCCTTCCTTTTGAAATCAAGAGTCAGTCTGATGAGAAACAATTTCTTTCAGTGTGATCATAACCTTTATTCAGAGTACATTTTCTTTCTGCTGTCTGTTTTGCACAGAGAAAGTTTAATCAGGCAGAGTTCAAACTGCTTATCACAGCAACTACACAATTGATGAATGATTCTTTAACAGTCTTTCACATTTTCTCCTTCTCACACACATTTGGCTTCCCTGGCACATTGATGCATCTCCATGAGCGAATGGAAATACAGGTAGATCATTCATGAAATGCGGTAAGATGTAGTGGTGGGTCATTGAGACGTGGCATGTTTGACAGTTAAACGCCATTTACTGCTTAACGTGATTGGACAATAGGAGTTCCGTAAATGCGTTATAAATAACCAACTCTCAAGAAATTATTCCAGTTTAAAGATTGACCCTAGACCCCTGAACAGTAAAAAGCTCAAGTATTGTTATAGATACTGTAGCCTAGCTTTAGTTAAAGTGGGGTTCTAATTATTTAGATTTTCTTGGAACTCTCTTCACCTCTGACCCTCCATGTTCGGTTTCTTTCTGGACTCATTGTTCCTTTCCTCTTGGCTCTCCCATTGGTGTCTCCGGTCGAGTACAGTAAATGGCGAGACCACCATGTTTCCTTGTTTCTCCTGCCAGGGTATGTTTCTCTGTTGAGGGATTCATTCTTATTCTACCTGCTGTGCAGTCACTATGGCTTCTTCTGTTGGTTCATTCGGTGGAAACACTGCCGCCTTTCTTTTAATAACAAAATGGCCTTCTACCACCGAGCTGCCTTCTCAGCCCTCTCAGGGCCATTTCGTTGCTGTTGTTGATTTTCTTTTTTTGGTTGATTTTAGCTCTGACTGGTTTGGCATTTGCTATGTAGCCCAGGCTGATCACAAACTCACAGTGTTCCTCCTGCCTCAGCTTTCCACATGTTGGAATTATAGATGTATACCACCACATCCAGCTCCAAGGGAATTTTTAATAAATAACACTGAGTGATCTTATAAAATGTAAATCAGATTGCTACTCTTTTAGTCAAAACTCCCTATTTTTGCCTTCCTTTCACTGAGAACACTGTTCTCACCCTGGGACAACCTTTTCTACCAGGCAACATCTGGCACTGTATGGAAACCTTTAGTTTTTCTAGCTCTGCTGTAGGTGCTATTAGCTTCTACTGGAGCCTAAATAGTAGGGATGCTGTAAATACCCCCACAATGCACAAGATAGCCCCTCAAAACCAAGACTCTTCTAGTTCACAATGCCAAGGCTGAGAAGCCTTGACTTAGAGAAAGAATCATTATTATAGTCTGGAAGTCTACAACATCCATTGCCCCTGGAGCTCATCTGTTCCTTGTTTTGATCCTACTCACTTTGCTTTGGCCCCATTAGCCTCCTCTCTATCCCTTTAATATGCCAGTTATATTCTACTTCGGGATCTGTGCACAAACATTTTGCCTTCCCTAGAATGCCCTCTCTTTAGATGCTATTTAACAAATTCTCGTCCCCTTTCGGGCCTTAGCTCAACTATCACCTTGTTAATGAGGCCAAATGTACACCCCCCCCACCCCAGTGGCACTCCAGATTCACTATACCCTGATCTGTATTTCACTGAGTATACTTTAATCACCTTTACAGTTAACTTATCATAATACTTGTTTACTGTCTATTTTTCCCTAGTAAAACCTAAGTTTCACAAGGGTAGAAACTTTACTTTGTTCCCGCACCTAGAGTGCCTGGCCTCTAATAGGTGTTCAGTTGCTGTCTGGAAGAAACTAAAAATGAATGAAGCGTGATTGACATAATCACCTCCCTGACTTGTTTGGCTCTACCCAGCTGCTTCCCCTCCTGTGCTCTTCCGCTAGAGCTATCGGGAAACTTCCATTCCATGGAACGACATTCAAAATGCTCCTTGGCTCTTGAAAACTTGTTTTCTCCCCCATGAATCCCAGAACCTCATCCAGCCCTGCCTTCCACTGCATGCCCGGGTGTCTGATAGGCCAGTGCAATTACAGGTATTCATAGAAGGCTTGGGATGGCGGGAAGGAGGTTCAGAGATCTTCTCTCCTGGTTTGAAAACAGGTATTTAGATTTTTTTAAAAAATATGGTTTTTTGAAAGTCAAGCTTGACTTCAACTTCCTGTGTGGCTAACTTTAAAGTTCTGATCAATCCTCCTACCTCTAACTCGTGAGTTCTGAGGACTACAGACCTGGGCCACCAAGCCTGGTTTATGGGGTGCTGGAGGTCAAAGAGCTTCATAGATTTTAGGCAAGCACAGTACCAACTGAGCCACATCCTTACTCCCCGCTATTCTTTTGTTTTGTTCATGTAACATAAAAGAAAGTCTGAAGAGTCAGGGTCCCCTACAGTAAGATCAGCCACAGGGGTCAGATTTCCAGAGCACCACAGACCCTTCTGGAACGTGACTGATGAAGGACGACATCAGGTCTTCTAGAGCCTTCCTGACCCCTAGCCCTAAGAAGCTAGTCTTGACACGCATAAGAAGTGTGTCTTCTGGGCGAGGTGTCATTAGCCCAGACATTGTTCTATATGACAGGGTAATTGTGGAGTGGGCGCCATTCATCTGTGTTTATTCTCAGCTTGCCAAACAGCGCAGCCTCCCCTCAGGGATTCCCAAAGACTGTGGGGAGCGAAGCCATAGGCCAGACTTCTCTGGGAACCATGCTAACACGTTTAAGACCCCCGGAGAGTGCGTGTGCACACAGGCCGTGTGTGTGCCATCCACCTGCTGGTACAGCTTGTGCCCAGCAGGCATACCCTTGGCCCTGCCTTATCACAACCGTCCATTTGAAGGCCGAACTGGCTTTCTCCTTCTGTTGAGTACACACTGATCCTGGCATTATCTTCCTGAAAGTTAGTAAGTCTCTCATACCACTCACCCTGTAAGCAAGAAAGGAGTCCTTTGTCGGTGGAACTTTTGCCCATATCCCCCCTGACACTGGCATTGTTCACGGGATAAAACTAAGCCTGCCCACTTCAACCTCAGTTGGCTGCTCTAGCTTAGGTACCTGCCCACTCTCCTCATGTCATCACTGGACCCAGTTTCCCTTTCCTTCTCTGCATCTTTACCTCTCCTCTTGAATCATCCTGATGCCTCTACCCTAAAGCTTAGAGCCCCTGCCTCTTGTGTTCTCATTGCACTGCCCTGCCGTTAGCCTTGCAGCCAGCTTTAATTAAGAGATTCTCATTCTATTACGCTAAATGAAGTAAGTCAGCCACAACAGAAGAAATACTGTAATTCCATTTCTACGGGGTGTCTGGAATGGGCAGATACACGGGGACTTACGGTAGACCGGAGGCTAGCAAGGGTTGGGGAGGAGGTTTTAAGTACAGAGTTTACACTGAGAATGGATGGCGAGAAAGGTTTGAGCACAGGTAAGGGTGATGGCGACAGAACTTTATGAATGTATTGAATTTGTAGAATTAAAATTGGCTAGCCAGGTGGTGGTGGCGCACACCTTTAATCCCAGCACTTGGGGGGCAAGAGGCAGGCAGATCACTGTGAATTCAAGGCCAACCTGGTTTACAAGAGCAAGTTCCAGGACAGGCTCCAAAGCTACAAAGAAACCCTGTCTCAAAAAACAAAAACAAACAAAAAAATTAAACAAAAACAAAAAAAAAATTCCCTCCGTGCAGGAATGCAGCTCAGCAGAGAGAAAGCACAGAGCTAAGTACACTCTCCTTACATCCCCAGGTAGTTTTTAAATCCCATTTCAGTATCGACTCAGTTTTATAGAGAAAAT